TATGTATGTATGTATGTATGTATGTATGTATGTATGTATGTATGTATGTATGTATGTATGTATGTATTACTATTACTACTACTACTACTACTACTACTACTACTACTGCAGCTACTACTACTCTTGGAACGTTCGTGAAAGAGGCCGGACAAAATATTCATACTCGAATACTTAATCCAAAAGATTCTCACGCGCGTAATACATGTAACTATTTACGAACGTATAAAACGTTTCATCTTTCTCCCTCTCGTAGTATTTATTATATCGTTAAACCTATCACGGCGTGCAAAAGGAAGAATTTTTCTAATCGAAGCGTGTGCAATGTTCTTTTTCCATCGACAATTGCGAGAAGGTAGAATTTTTGTCATGCAGCTTTGCGTTTCGTTAGTGGCTGGACCACTAAACGAAAAGGGAAAAGTTCCGAATCATTCAAAGATAATAAATTAGAATATACTTGCCGCCAAAGAGGAAAAATAAAAAAATGCAGATGGCGGTTAAAACGGAGGTTGGTGAACGTTTTCTTTGGAACGAAGCTATCACAAGAGAGCTACCACCAACGTGTGGTTTACCTCGATGTTTGTTCACCGGCTAAGGAGGTTATGACGAAACGTATGCCTTCGTGATTGTACGCCGATGGTGTGGGTGGTTGCTTGCGAGGAAATATTTCGTCACGGCTCCGGCGTTATGTGTTCTCTCTCACAGAAGGAAAGATACGAGGGAATGAGAAAGAGGGAGCTAGAGGGAGAGAGAGAGAAGAACGATGCAGGCAGATATTGCAGCAAATAGGTACGTTCCTCTCCGTTAAAGCTTTAGCCATAGATATCTCGTCTCAGATATCTTACTTTCCGAATCAAAGCGTTGTTACGATCGTAAACTAGGTTGGGACAACTACAACGTGACCTAAGGTGCAAAGGGTTTCGTAGAGAAGCTAAAGCTTCCTTTCGCCGCGACGTCATTTTATTGTCGTTTATTATTATGATAATGCAATAAACGTAAAGGATTACGTTTCTCTAAACAATATTTTTCCACATTCTTAATGTACTACGAGTGCTACCAACATTTTTTGCTAAACATTGACAAATGAAGAAAAGGAACGAACATGTAAGTCCCAACTTTTGAAAAATCGGAAAGAACCCCGTTGGAAAACACGAGTAAAGAAGGTAATAAAGAAAGTGTCGTGCATGTATGTAGATGCGAAACGGCTATTACAGTCAATTGGTTGGTTGGTTAAGCTGATATTCCAGTGATGCCTCATGTACAAATATTCTTTTAAGAGGTTTTAACGATTATTAGAGATTTATTAAGCGCACGTTCATTTCCAATTCCGCAACGTAACGTAAATAAACTACGTTTCGCGATTCGTATCTTATATTCTAATCAAATCTACGCTCTTGTGTGTATGTATACGTGTATAAAAAGAAGTAAGAAGATAACAAGAAGAAAAAAAAAAACTTTGCAAATACCTAATAAACCAACCCCCACCCACCACCCACTGTAGTTAATGTAACATTATTTGTATAGCGTCATCCTCGTAATCCCTACGAGGATACTACTCCGTGTACTTTGAACCCTCCGTCACGTAATCCCTATTCCTCTACTTATTAATTATCTTTATAGACTTTGTTCTATCTATTTTAGATGACGAGCAGACGAGAAAACGTGCATTTGTGATAAGACGAAAAGACCTCGAAGTATCTGAACAAAATCCTCTCCAATAAGAGAACGTGATTTTATCAATGAGTTCGCGTTACTAATAGAGACCATATTTATGTTTCATTTCAACTACAAACAGTCTAATTAAAATGTTTCATTTCAACTACAAACAGTCTAATTAAAATGATTCATTTATTTCATTACTATTTTCAATCAAATTGAATGGATATGAAATAAAAGCAAATACATTAGAAAATTGTAATATTCTGAAAAATAATGAACTATTCTCACGAAATGCATTGATAATTATGAAAACTATCGAAATTGTTTAATTTGTTTGAGAAAATAATAAAATAAGATAATGAAATAAATCTCTGTAATTGAAGTTAAACAAAATAACAGATCTTCCATTTATTTGAAAATGCGTTGTCGCATCGTCGTGTATCATAAGTGTATATATAAGCGCGTATTGCTTCCTATTTACGTGTCTCGAATGAATGAATGAAAAAGTTAATCAAAGAATCGAAACATATGCGCGCTTTATATGCTACTATAATACATTTCTATGTATATTTGCGATAGAGAAAGTTCAAAAAAAAAAAAAAAAAAAAGAAAAAAAAGATGATAACAAAGAATAAATGCAAAGCAAATTCAAATCGTCGCGATGTATGTATGTATTTAGATATTATAATTATCTATCTTGTTCCATCGCAATTTCTCTTTAATCGCTCGTTTATTATAAAGAATCTTTATCGAACAAAATATGTCTAACTTAAGCCTATTTTACCTCATCCACAAGAAACAACCATGGTATCAAGCTCTAAGCCATTATTTTATTTTAAGCAATACTTTTTATTTAGTTTTGCCTTTTTTTTTGTTCACTGACGAATTGTAACAGTCGTTCGTCACATTCCGAAAATTTTTTGTTATAATTTTAAATATACGAAATATACCTCATGTTACGTGAAAAAAAAAAAATAATAAGAAAATAGACGAAAGAGTGGGATTCAACATTCGTGCACATTTCCTACTTTCATTTTCCTACTGTTTGTTCATAATGTTTATAAGATGCTGTAATTTGTGTGTCGTGTAATTTAAATATACGATGATATATATAAATATATATATATATATAAAATATGTATTTGTATGTATACGTAATATACAATTCCTATTTGATCGAATATATTATTCTCAGATTTTCCTTTTATTTTAAGCTCGCATTTCTTTCGTCGTAAAATATTTAAATTTAAAATAATATTTTTATTTCAAGATTGGAAATTAATGAGGTTTTTTTAAACATATTTTGCTTCGATGATATTATATATTTAAAAAGTAAGACTAATGTAAAATACGATCAAAACAATTTTATCTACTTACAAATAACGCAGAGTTTATAATTCGCCCTCCTTTTTAAATTACATTAAATTTTCGTAAACTTTTAATTATATATATATTAATTAAATATTCTAATTATATATATATGGTTAATTGCACCCGTGCTTCCATCTAGCGGTACCTAAACTCAACGCGTGCTCATTCAGTATTTATCATTCATTGATTACTATTTTCATCAATGGGGTAGTAAAAGCGCCATCTACACTTCTGTGTACTACGTTACGAAAAACATATGACAAGTGTATTTACAAAAACACGTGGTAAAGTGTGTACATATACATATTTAGAAAATTTGACGATATTTATATTTCTGCTATCTTAAGAAACGTTGATATTTTTTTGAGCACATTACAACAACCGATTTAACGAAACGACATTGTTGCAAAAGGTAAATCTTTTATTTAAAACATAACCTGAAATGTAAAACAATACGAATCATACATTTAGTAGTTATGTTTTATTTACTCATTAAATTACAAAATTTTTATTAATATTTTTTTAGATTCTACAACAATTGAGGAATAGTTAAACTATTAATTAATTTATTTAATTGTTTACATTTGTAAACTATTCATTATCGTCATGGCCGAGCCAATTCTTGATAAACGTTTTGCACATATTGCAAGGGATCCCAAATTTAAAAGGATACCAAAAAATGAGCGTAAAATTAAAATAGATAAAAGATTTCAAAGTATGTTTAATGATGACAAATTTGCAATTAAATATACGGTTGATAAACGTGGTAAACCTATTAACCAAACTTCTATGGAAAATCTTCAAAAATACTATCAGCAAAGTAGCAGTGAAGATGAATCAGATACCGAGATTAATACGAAAACAAAAAAAGGTGGAAAAAAGGGAATATCAAAGAGTAATAATAAAATAAAACATGATGAAATTGACGTTGATATTCAGAAAGAAAAAAATGCTACAAAATCAAAGGAAGATATTGACGAGAATCCATGTACCGATAGCTCGTCTTGTACACATGATTTGGATGAAGAATTAAAGGAAAATGAAAAACAGTTGCATATAAAAAAGAAAGATGAACATTTAAAACTAACTAATCAAATAAAAGAAAGATTACAAGATCTTTCTGTTAATTATGCAAGGGGTGAAGGAATTTTAGCAACCGATAGTTCTTCGGATGAAGAAACTTCCGAATACAGTGGTAATAATCTATATTCCTACCTTAATTTTAATCTAAATTGTTTGCATAAACAAATACAAATATATATTATCTTCAAATTTAGACGAAGAGGAAGACGTAGAACATGGTTGGGGTGAATTAGATAAAGATGCAGAAACAACCGATGAAATAACACGTAGATTAGCTGTTTGCAATATGAACTGGGACAGAATACGTGCCGTAGATCTGATGGTCCTATTTCATTCATTTTTACCAAGCGGTGGTATTATTCATTCAGTTACGGTAATATTCATTATTTTTTATATAAAGTATTAATTTTATTGAGCTATTATTAACGCTATGATTACTGACGTTACACCAGCACATTAACAATTCTAGTCTAATGATTAAGCTTTTCTCAATATTGTAGATCTATCCATCAGAATTTGGTTTAGAACGTATGAAAGAAGAAGAAATAAAAGGACCGGTAGAACTGGTTGATGATAAAAAAGAAGAAGAAGAAGAAGAAGGTCACAGTGAAAGTGATGTAAGTTTAATTATTGTCACCATGAATGAACATTTCCTTATTTTTCTTTCATTGTTATAGAACGAAGAAGGCTCGAGTTATCATATGGAAAAATTAAGAAAGTATCAATTGAATAGATTAAAATATTATTATGCGGTATTAGAATGCGATTCTGCTGAAACTGCTAACAAAATTTATACCGATTGCGATGGTATCGAATATGAGTGTACTGCAACAAGACTAGATTTGAGATTTATACCTGATGATATGACTTTTGATCAGGTATTTAACAAATTCTCTATCTTTATTTATTGTTTAATATTTTTTGCATTTTATAAATGAAGATTTATTTTATTTCAGGAACCACGAGAAGTGTGTACAGAATTGCCAGAAATTTCTAAATATCAACCACGTCAATTTGTTACTACTGCGTTGCAACAAGCAAAAGTACAATTAACTTGGGACGAAACAAACCCAGACAGGGAAGAATTAGCAAATAAGCTTAATTCTGGAAAAGTTAATGAAATAAATGAGAAAGATTTGCAAGCTTATTTAGGTAGTGGAACTAGCGATGATGATACAGGTAAATTGATGTGTAATATATTGATCTAATGTATGATAACATCTAACTTTTATATTCACATTGTAGACAATGAAATTGAAAAAAACGGTAAGCACGAAAGAGAAGATCAAGAGGATTCAGATACACCTAATGATCCCATCGAAAAATATAAATCTTTGTTGAAACAATTGGACGAAGAGGAAGAGGCAAAAAAAAATAAAGACGTTGAATTAGAATTTACATGGGGCATTGGAACGGAAGAAAAAGAAGATAAGTTAGCCAAGGATAAATCAAATAAAATTGAAGATTTAGCTCCATTCGAGAAATATTTAGCAAAACGAAAAATCAAACAAAAAGCTAGAAAGGAAGAAATCAAAAAACGGATGGAATTACAAGACGATGATGCATCGAATTCGGATAATTCCGATGTTAATATTTCGAAGAATAATAAACTGAAAAATGGCCGGTTATCGCGTAAAGAGCAACAAATAACTGGAGAAAATAGCGATGATGATGATTCTTCATTTATGGAAAACGAAGAAACAAAACGTTCGAAAGAATTAGAATTACTTTTAATGGATGAAACCGAGAACGAAAATAAGAAACATTTCGACATGAATAAAATTGAAGCTAATACCAATTTGTCAAAATCTAAGCGCAAAAGATTGAAGAAAAAACAAAATGTACAAAATATCGAGGAAGATGATTTTCAAGTAAACGTTAACGATGCCAGATTTTCTGCGCTTTTTACATCGCATAATTTCAACATTGATCCTGCAGATCCTCATTACAGAAAAACCAAAGGCACCGATACTTTAATTCAAGAGAAATTAAAAAGAAGAGCTGAACATAATCCTGTTGATGTAAGTATTCAAATACTTTCCTATATATCGGATAATTTACATTTTTTTCTAATTGTGATAATGTTTTAGGAAAAGGAAGAAAAGATGCCTCCTGAAAATAATAAAAAATTAAAACTAGAATTGCAAGCATTAGTCAAATCAGTTAAGAGGAATACCAATACCATCTCTAAACCAATAAAACGATGACCATTGTGATTATATAATTTGTTATTTAACTTCTTCGAAATATTAAATGCAATTTATTATTATTTAAATGTTTATTAATTCATTTGTAATTTTTCCGCGAAACGTTTTCCAACTTTTAATATAAAATTAGATATTTTCTTTATATATTAATATTTTTTCTGTAAACATTTACAAGATAGATTAATTATGTGAATAAAAAAAAAAAATATTCTTTAATTATTTGATTTATTATTCGATTAATTATCTACTCTTATGGCACGTGAAGTAGAAGACGAAATAAAATTTAACTAAAAATAATCCTAAAGTCAAATTTTTGATTTGTTTTTAGAAAGTCATGTAACTACAAACATACATACATACACATACATATATATAATTATTTGATATGCATGGAATAATATTTCGTATTTATTTAACAATGCGAATGAGAAATTACAAGAGCATTTTTTCGTATTCGTTATTCGCGGTAGCAACAATCTGATGTTGTGGAATATTGTAGATATACATATAAATTCATATCATCCATATACATATATATATATAGATATATTATATATACTTTATACTGTATATATTCTCTCAATCGTAGGTTCCTTAGGTGCGCACGAGGGCTGCTCGCGTCTTGAGCTCGAATGATATGCAAATTTCAGTAGTAACCCTTAAACTTTATACTCTGACCTAGATGCTCACCTGCCTAGAGGCCGTTCGTGATTATATCCGTTTTAATACGTCTTCAAGGACCAACCTTTACTTATCTCTTAGACTTTACAGATCAAGTCTTTCTAAAAGTGTATAGTTCTCTTCTAAAATTCATATCCTTTAATATTTATCGATTCATAAATGTTAAATATTTTTTTAAGAAACATAAATCATTCAATTTTATAAACTAACTTAAATAGATTTTTTTCTACTAATTGTTTTGTTTGTTTTTTTTTGTATTCTTTAACGATATTTAATAGTTGTTTTAAATGTAATTTTTTAATATTTTACGAGGAATTTTTTAAAACGATACAAAACGAATAAATTAATTGTTAGGGAATAACAAAAATTTGTGTATTTTACATTGCAATGACAAAAACGAAGTAATGGAATCAATGACATTTACAAATCTTCTCTATTTACTTTACCCCCGTTGTCCTAGTTTTATGATTGTATTTATTTATTTATTTTTTTTTCGTTGTTGTTGTTGTTGTTGTTAAAACAGGTAAAAAAAAAAAAGAAGAAAAAGAGAAAAGGTACGAAAGGGAACAAAAAAAAAAATAAAATAAAAAATAAACCCGAGCTTCAATCGAGAGCAATCCTATTATATGAAGTTTTCATCAGAGGGTATTCTCGCTCGTATGTATTTTTATTATTATTCCGTTTTATTTTTTATTTTTTTTGTGTATTTTTTCCCAATTTCCATGTGTATTTGCTGGGTCAAATCGTTGGAAGTAAAATATAAATTATAAAAAATGTAAAATCGATATAAGCATAGAGTACGTGCAATGCAATATCCAATTTCCACGTATTCATGAATTATCATTTATGTATTATATTATAGGCATATATGATTTTTTTAACACAATCATTATAATATGAAAATATAGACAGAAAGGAAAAAAAAACTGTGATAGTTTAGTTACAATTTTTGATTGAAAAGTTCAATTATTTTGGGAACGAGTTAATTATGATGATGTCGCGTTAAACAGACGAAAATTCCACACCCACCTTACATTTCGGTTAATGAACATCCTCCGGCGGAAATCTGGTATTCCTTAGATAGTTAATAACGACGAGGCAAATCTTACGCAGACATTGCCCAAGGCGAACAAACTTTCCATGCGTTGGCGTTAACAAGGATACGAATTTTCCATTTTCAACATTGATTACGTGAAAAAGATAACTTACAATTAGATGTACTCCACGTAATAACTAATTCAAAAATCAATTTTTTTTTAATCGATTTATTTTATAATCATTTTCCCATTTTCATATTTTAAACTTTTCCTCCTTGTATCTACATTATCGACCGATTTAAAATTCGCGATACTGAATTTAAATAATTGATGGCGCCGTACGTTTAAAGTTATCGCACAAATTTCATTCTTTTTAAATCGTTTATCGATTTTAATTAATGGATACACCATATATCATTTAAACGAAAGTTTATTTGATTAATGAAAATTCAAAGAAAATTGTGAAATGGAAAAAAAACTTAAAAAAGAAAAAAAGAAAAACAAATCATTTCGCGTCAACTCATTCAATCTTAATGGGAATTTTTTAAAGGCAAGGGGCGTGCAAATTTGACGAGGAAACTTTTCGTTAAATTTCAACTTTTTTAAAGATGAGAATTTGATTTCAAGAATACGTGAAAGGTAGATTTGCACCGTATCGAAATCTTTTAAGCGGTAGCGCACGTAGACAGGTGGGTTTACCCTCGAGCAAACTAATAATGGAAAAGTCCGTCTGAGTTAGTAAGATCATTAAACTATGAGGGGTTGAGCAAAGGTGGTGTGGAAGATATAGGACGAAACGGAAGTTGAACTTAAGTAGAACTCATTCAACTCGGTTAACCTTTCATGATGCTTCGACCTAGGTACGAAGGAATGTAATACCTAACGAGAAGGTGCGAATCTCGTTCTACTCTCGGTTCTTCGTATTATCGATTACGTTCGATAACGGAGTATCGTCACGCTTTTACGATTCGCTTTGTGTCTTTCTCTTTCTTTTCTATTTTTCTACCTTCCGTGTCGTCTAATTTCTTTTACTCACACCCTCTTTCTCTCTGCTAGCTCAATTTGATTTTTTTTTTTTTCTAGTCTACCTTTGGTCAAGGTATTTATCATCGTGAATCAAAGAAGGTGGTTTCTGTTAAAAGCTTATTCGATTATGTTTGTAATTAAAGTTAGAAGAACAGTGTATGCGTATTCCTCTCTCTCTTTCTCTAAATAAATCTTCCATTTCCGAGATTTCCTTTTTTTTCTATCAATTAAATGTTTTTTTTTTTGTAATTGAGCAGAATTAATTGTTTGAAAAAATGAAAGTTAAGACTTTAACGAAGTCCTTAGTGAAAACGCATAAGACCTTCATCACAAGTTCGTGAAATGTTACGATCTTGGGACGACTCGGAACAGGGTACAAACCTGTTTTTCTCGTGTGACAGTGTTAGAAGTAAGTTTCACGGTGCTGACCAGTAATAGCTACTCGCCGTACGTCGGCAAAGAGGTACTTCGTGTACTCCTCTCGATGGATGAAGACCGGTTTGACGTCAACACGGTGCGTGCAAGGCCGTTATAATCCGTATGAAGTCATTTCGCATACCGTCTCTTGTGTTTTACGAACGAGCCGACGATCTCGAGTATTCGAGTAAATATATGAACGATCTCGAAACAAATCTTTAGAAATGCACAATGCGAGAAACAAATGTTCTTTATTATACTTTTCTTTTTTTATCTGATGATCGATTCGATATAATCCGAATGAATTTCTTTTTTTACTGTCACGTTTTTCTTATTAATTCCTACTATAAATAAAAACAAAAGTAGTGTAACTTTTAATTGATATATACGTATGATACATAATCTTTACACTTTTTTATTTTAATTTCTTTTTTATTTACCGGATAATTAATGATCGTCAATATAGTTATACTAGATACGAAAAAATATTAAATTGGACCGAGTGATAAATTCGAATTTCTTCTTACGAAGAAACTTCTGCTTATGCATGCAATTTCGTATCTACTTTCGATCGTTGTTGATTAATAAGCAAAGTTCACGACATATTTCAAATTGGAATAGAAAAAAAAAAAGAAACGAATGAATGAATGAATGAACGAAGGGAGGAAAGTAAAATTGAGTAGAAGAGATAGGCAAATTTCTCACACACGTTTACACTAGGACAAATGAATTTGTCACAAAACACGCCGAGGCATGCATACTTCTCCGCTATTTGCAATGCAATAGACTTCGATTGAACATACCGAATAAGTTAAACGTGCGTTCCGTTGCGTTAATTTTCTCTACGCGTGTTACAACGTCTAAATACGACCATCCATGTTTTTTTTTCTCACGTGTATCGAACAACTATCGGGAATCATTCTAATTCATTTATCAATGCAAATCTGATAATAGTAGTATCGTTTTAGATAGAACGTTAAATCCCGTGACTTCTCATTAACAGTGAAGAAGATCATTAACACGTAACCGATTGAAGTTTTCAAGAGATAATAAACTGATATTATAAAACGATCAAGTTCGTCGAAGCGTTAGTAATAAAATCTATTTTAGTCATGTATATTTCATTGGTCCATATCGAATCTCTTGGGACAACGCTTTCCGTTCTAAAAGAGGATCGATAAGTTCTTTTTGTTCATTTCCGCACGGCATATATTATTCGATTTTCCTCTTTTCTCTCTTTCCGCACTGTTCGCTTCTCGATATGGATACGAAGCGCGATGCATGAAATGGGCAAATTTTTTACCACGTCCGAGCGTGCGAGAGATGTTGGTAGAAATGGGGGTGGTCGGGAGGAAGGAAGAAAGAGGGAGATATCGCTGGGATAGTCTATGAGGGGGTAGGATGATTCGTACGCAAACAAATGCACAAATCTCTGTTCATGTATGTTTGTAGCTAGCGGGCTGAGGGAGGGACGTGCAGTTGAAATGCGGTAGGTGCAACCGTGCAGGTAGGTAGGACACGCAATGCAGTTTCGTTGAAATTAGGTCAGCGAGTTTTCGGGTTAGAGAAGGACAGACCGAGGCTTGGAGTGGGTGGAAGGAGAGAGAGAGAAAGAGAAGGTAGGTTGGGGAAAGAGAACGTGTACCCTGGGGGTTGCCGGACGAGGGTTGGAGAACTACTAGCAGTCGTCGTTGGTACTCGTCGACTAGAGAGGGGAGGGTGTAGCCGCTACGGAGACACCGCGGGTCAGGCTATTCCGAGAAAGAGAGATAGAGAGAGAGCGAGAAAGAGAGATAGAGAGAGAGAAAGAGAGAGAGAGAGAGAGAGGAAGCACCGTAGGAGTAGTGAAAGAGTAAATGTATGTAAATTAAACGTCCCTCGACTTTATTTAGCGCGAGAGTTTAAAGGA